ATGGTACCGTAGGTGTGTGTAGTGCACCTGGTACCGACCAATGCAACATGCATGAAACCTCAATGAATTAGGTGGAACCATATTCCAAGTCCTTGAATTGTACTTACACATTACAAGTGCTGCATCTCATATTATATACTCTATCCATCCCAAATTATAAGACGTTTGATTTTTTCTTCAAGTTTGACCACTCGTCTTATTCATAAAATTTTTTTATAAATATAGTTAAATTTAAATTATTCTTGAAGAATTTTTATTAATAAACCAAACCACGACGAAAGAAGTGATATTTTACACAAATTTTTGAATAAGACAAGTGGTTAAATTTGATGCAAAAAAAATTAAACGTTTTATAATTTAAGATGAATTGAGTAGTTAATTAGCCTGGCCGGCCCGTTTTTGGTCTTACCTTGCGTCGTTACAGGTTGCATGTAGTACCTGTAGCACTAGCACGCCATGGCAAAAAATAATCCATTTCAATTCCAGAGAAGACGGGTAGAGAAACTGACAGAGGCGGAGCCCTCCCTGTTGACTGGAACAGCAACAGCAGCAGGCGGATGATGCCTCCCACCCAACCCAACCTAACCTTGCTGCCTCCGTTTGTTTTGCAAAACCAAGGACGTGTTTAGTTCCACTTTAAAATATCAAATTTTTAAGATTTTCTGTCATATCGAATCTTTGGACGTATGCATAAAGCATTAAATATAAATAAAAAATAAAACTAATTATACAGTTTAGACGAAATCCACGAGACGAATCTTTTAAACCTAATTAGATTATGATTGGACACCATTTACCAAATAACAACGAAAATGCTACCGTAGTATTTCGCCAAAAATTTCGGCACCCAAACGGTGCCCAACTTAAAATACTGTTCCATCTGATTAAATATCGAGCTGATTTGTCGAGTGAAAAAAATACTATCTTTTTTAAAAACAAATTGAAAAATACGGATAAGGGCCTTTGATGCCCGGGGAAGCAGGGGAGCCCTTTCCTTTCCACCTCCCCAGCAGGCAAGCAGGCAGAGGCGGCGGCGCTCCCAGTCGCGCCACTTGCGCTTCGCCTTCTCCTCCCCAACCCCAACCCCAACCCCACCCACCCTCCTCCTGTACTACTCGGTCTTCTCCGGTCGCCGTGGTGGCCATCCCGGAGCCTTCCTCCGTCTCTCCTCCACATCCCCGGCCCCGGCGGTCTTCAAAATCAAATCCAGCCAGCCCCCACACCCAACGCCATCCCCCCATTCCCCCATCCCCTGCGGCTAGCAGCTAGCTATTCCAGGCAGCCTCCGTCGCTTCAGGCACCCGCTCCCCAAGTAAAACAAGTCCGGGAGGTTCCCAATTCCCCCACGCTAAGTAAAATCTCCGATTTTTATCCCTCTGTTCCGCCCACCGCACCGCCGCCGGCGAGCGACGAGCCAAGCCGCCATGTCCGCCATGCCGGAGGACTTCCTGGCGGCGCAGGAGGGGGCGCCGTACCTGGCGGCCCCGGAGCCCTTCTCGCCCTCCGTCTTCCTCGACCTGCCGCCGACGCCGGGGCGCCCGGCCGACTCCATCGACGACGACGACCCGGACCTCGTCCTCCCCTTCATCTCCCGGATGCTCATGGAGGAGGACATCGACGACAAGTTCTTCTACCAGTTCCCCGACCACCCCGCGCTCCTCACTGCCCAGCAGCCCTACGCGCAGATCCTCTCCGACTCCGCCACCGCCTCCGCCTCTCCGTCCGACGACTCCTCCTACGCCGCCACCAACACCACCGCAACCACAACCAGCAGCAGCGGCTTGGGGACCGGCGGCGGCAACTCCACCCTCTCGCCCTCCTCCGACGCCCCCGCATCCTCCCCCGACCTCGCCTCCTGGCCGCACTACGAGGAAACAGTCGACCTCTCCGACCTGCTCCGCTCCCCGCCGTACCCTTCTCCTGACACGGGGGTGGGCCTCGACGACTTCGCTGGACTCTTGTCGCCGGCAGAAGCTCAAGACGACGCCACCGCGGGAGGATTCCACTTCCACCAGAGTCCGCTGTTTTCGGATGGCGGCGGCGACAGAGGAGAAGCCCAACGGCAGCAACCTTCCCTCGCCGCCAAGAACGCCGGCGGAGCCCAACATCAGGGCGGCATCCAGAGCTCCAACGCGTTCTCCAGTGACAAGGAGGAAGAGGAGGAGCCGAAGGCAGAGTCCAGCACCTTTCCTGCTGGAGACGGCGACCACGCCGCGCTCGCCTCGGCCTTCTTCGGCGCCCAGAATGGGGGAAACATGGACATGCTCAGCATGGCGTTCCTCAAAGGCATGGAGGAGGCCAAGAAGTTCTTGCCTACCACCAACAGCCTTCTCATCGACCTTGATGACACCTCCGGCAAATCCTTGCCTAAAGACAGAGACAGCAAGCCCTCCACCGCCTTTGCTGCTACCCAAGTGAAGGAGGAGGAGGAGCAGGTGGTGAATGCAATGTCAATGTTTGGGGGAAGCAGAAGCACCAATGGCAGGGGCCGCAAGAACCGGCACGCTGAGGAGGATGATTTGGAGGCAGAGACAGGCAGGAACAGCAAGATGATGATGCCGGAGCAGGAGGAAACCGGTGCCAACGAGCTGTACAATGAAATCATGAATTGTACCTATGAGGGGTTCATGAAGCGCATGGAGGACCTGCGCATCGCCATGGACAGCGAGTCTGAAAAGAGCGCCAGGAAGGTCAGCAGGAAGGGGGCGCGGGGGAAGCAGAGTCTTGTGAACGAGGTCGTCGACCTGCGCACCATGCTCATCCACTGTGCGCAGTCGGTGGCCAGCGGTGATCGCCGGAGCGCAACTGAGGTGCTGAAGCAGATCAAGCAGCACTCCTCGCCCAGAGGGGATGCCACACAGAGGCTGGCTCATTGTTTCGCCATGGGACTGGAGGCACGGCTTGCAGGCACGGGGAGCCAGGTGTACCAGTCGCTCATGGCACAGCACACCTCTGTCGTGGATTTTCTCAAGGCATACAGGCTGTACGTGGCAGCCTGCTGCTTCATGAAGGTGAATTTCATCTTCTCCCACATGACAGTTGGCAAAGCCGTGGCAGGGAGGAGCAAGTTGCACATTGTGGAGTATGGTGTGCAGCATGGATTCCAGTATCCAGGTTTGTTCCATCTACTAGCAAGGAGGGAAGGTGGACCACCAGAGGTGAGGGTCACCGCAATTGACGTCCCACAGCCCGGGTTTCGCCCAGCCCACCAGATTGAAGAAACAGGCCGCCGTCTCAGCAACATTGCCCGTGAGATGGGCGTGCCATTCAAGTTCCGTGGTATTGCAGCAAAGTGGGAGGACGTCCGTGCTAAGGACCTCAACATTGATCCGGGTGAGGTGCTTGTTGTCAACAGTGAGTGCTATGTCGGCAACTTGATGGACGAGAGCGTTTTGGTGGACAGCCCGAGCCCTAGGGATACGGTCCTCAACAACATCCGGGAGATGCGGCCCAATGTGTTCATCCATACCATAGTAAATGGAACATATGGTGCAACATTCTTTTTGACACGGTTCCGGGAGGCACTCTTCTTTTTCTCGGCACAATTCGACATGATCGATGCGACCATCCCAAGGGACAATGCTGAACGGCTGCTGATCGAGCGGAATATCTTTGGGTCGTTTGCCCTGAATGTGATTGCCTGTGAGGGTGCAGACAGGGTGGAACGGCCTGAAACTTATAAGCAATGGCAGGTGCGAAACCACAGGGCTGGGCTGAGGCAGCTACCACTGAATCCAGAGGTTGTCAAGGCTGCCACGGACAAGGTCAAGAACTATTATCATAGAGACTTCCTCGTCGATGAGGATAACCGTTGGTTGCTGGTCGGATGGAAGGGACGTGTGCTCTATGCCATGTCGACATGGGTTGCTGAGGATAATAAGCCCATCTTTTAGTGCCTGAATCCAACTATAGATTATATTGATATTTGATAGATGGTCTATGTTGAACCATGATCCAGCACTATGTTAAACCATGATCCAGCACCTTGTGGTTTAGTGGACTTATGTTTCTAGAGAGTTTAGTGCTGAAACCTGAGATAGAAACAATTAGAGCTACATAGGTTGTAGATATAGTTCTTGATATATTGCAGAGTTGTAATAATCTACTATGTACAATGTACACTAGAATTAAAACCCTGTAGCTGACAAGTGGTTACATGTTTGACCTCTGAAGGCTTAAACCCTGAAAAGTATCTAATGATGCATGATATCGAGCAACCTGTGTTTCAGTGGATTTATGTTGCTAGAGGGTTTAGTGCAGAAACTTGCCAGGTAGAAATAAGTAGATGCTTACAACTACATAGGTTGTGGATATAGTTCTTGATATATTGCAGAGTTGTAATATTATATACTATGTACACCAGAATTTGTAATAGTATACTATCTACACAAAGAATTGAACCCTGTCGCTGACAAGCAATTTATGGGCTACATGTTTGACCTCATGTTCTTTTCTGAAGGCTTAGTAAATCCTGAAAAGTATTCTGCCTTGTGAAGTTCTGTTTCTGCTGTAGCATCAGACTGTTGGCATCTCCTTCACTGCTGGGTGTGAGTAAGCATTGAAGTTGCACTGATTAATTAGAGTATTCCATTTTGCAATCTCATTCCTTTTGGTGATATTCTGATATGCAAGTTCATTTTTCCCACAGTTTTGTGTCACAGGCCTCGGTTTTGCACCATTTTTCTCAATTTAGATAACGACAGCTAAAAGTAGTCAAAGTATTCAGGATTAGGTCGAGATTGTTTCTGCTGTTCTTGCACAAACACAGACACCTCACACCGTGGACAAGATCTGGTCGCTGCCATGGTCGCCAACTCGCCATCCTGGAACCTTCCCCGTGTTGCCCCTCCTCGGCAGGCAGCATCTCCTTCAAATTTCCCACCGTCAAAGCTTGCGGCCGCCATCCTCACCTGCCTTTCCCCACGAAACATCGCACTCTAGTAAGCTAAGCAGCAGGCTGATTCGACACGCAAAGCTCCGATTTTGACCGCCGGCGAGCCATGTCCGCCGCGCCGGAGGAGTTCCTGGCCCAGGGGGCCTACCTCGCCGCCCCCGAGCCCTTCTCCCCCTCCATCTTCCTCGACCTGCCCCCGATGCCCCGACCCGATGGCGATGACCCGACCTCCGACGATCCGGCCTCCGACGACGACCTCGTCCTCCCCTTCATCTCGCGGATGCTCATGGAGGAGGACATCGACGACAAGTTCTTCTACCAGTTCAGCGCCCAGCAGCCGTACGCACAGATCCTCTCAGACGCCACCGCCGCCTCCTCATCCGACTCCGCCGCCGTCACCAGCTCAGGGGCCGGCGGCCGCTCCACCCTCTCCTCGTCCTCCTCCGCCCCCGCATCTGCCGACCCCACTGGCCCTACGACCCAATCGAGCTCTCCCAGCTGCTGCGCTTCCCTCCGTACCCGGACATGGGGGTGGGGCTCGATGACTTCACCGCCGATGAGGTCAACGCCGTCTTCTTGCCGGGACAAGACACCGCGTTCCAGCTGAATCCAGCGTTCTTGGATACTGCCGCCGGCTGACAGGGTGGGAGGCCAACAGCAGCGCGCTTCCCTCGTTGCCAAGGACGCCAGCGGTGGCGTGGGCATCCAGAGGTCGGCGTGCGCGGAGGAGACGAAGGCAGAGGCCATTACCTTGCCCGGTGGCGGATGTAGAATTTTATGAGACTTTTTATCGGTGTGCCATTATAAAGATCGAAATCTCCTGTGTGTTTCTGAAAAAATTCAGCAGTTTTCAGCATCACTACTTTATTTTTTCGAGTCCTCCATGCCACTTCCGTCAATTCAGGCTCTAACGCCGTCAAACTACAGGTATGAAAAGACAAAAATGCCCTTAAGTTCAAATATGTTATTAATTTTTTTGAGCATCTTAACAACTTTAAATGAAAAAACTCAAAACTAGAAAGTTATAGATCTCGTCGAGATCTATAATTTTCATATAAAATTTATTTTCATTTAATTTCGCAAAAAATATGATTTGATATGATTAATATATCTTAGAAAAATCATCATATTTTTTTTGCGGAATTAAATGAAAATAAAATTTATATAAAAATTATAGATCTCGACGAGATCTACAACTTTCTAGTTTTGAGTTTTTTCATTTGAAGTCGTTAAGATGCTAAAAAAAATTAATAACATATTTGAACTTAAGGGCATTTTCGTCTTTTTACCCCTGCAGTTTGACGGCGTTAGAGCCTGAACTGAAGGAAGTGGCATGGAGGACCCGAAAAAGTTAGAGTAGTGGTACTGAAGACCACTGAATTTTTCCAGGGGCATCACAGGGGATTTCGATCTTTTATAATGGCACACAGGGAAAAGTCTCGAATTTTATTGTAGGGTATGCCGTAAAAAAAATTATTATATAATTCGATAATATCGTTTACGAAATATGTAAACAATGGCAAATCCCCAAAATAATTATACATACATCCACTAAATAATATGACAAGTCTTAAATTCAAAGATTAAATCAGAATTCAGAAACTATTTCACAAATTGTGATGACAAATAGTTCAAACGCTATAAAGATATAGTTAAAATTATAGGCATAAAAGAGAGTAAAATACTTACAATGCTAGTTATTTGACTTTTTTAGGTGATTTACAATGATTTGAAGCGGTAGTAGTAGCCGTCGCTGTCTTCTTGCCTGCGTGTTTCTGAAAAAGAGATAATATCTCCGTTTCTTTTCTTGAACAATTCTAAAAAAATAATGTAACTAATTATGTATGTTTAGAGATTATAAATTATCAAATTATTAAATCTGACAAACTGTGCAAGTCGTCATTGAATTTCAAGTCTTTGCGAGTCTGCGTATTTTACAAATTACAGTCACAATGGTGGCAACAGTAGTCCAGGTAGTCTGCTGAATGCTTTCACGGCGAAGAAGCATGAACAACGCAAGCAATTTAGTGTTTGGCCAGCGCCGGCCAGAACTACAGAACATAGGCACCGCTGTCCACGCTGGCTTCTTTTCCAGGAACGAAATGGGTAGAATCACAGCCAGGACGAGATCGCCAGATCGCGCCTCGCGAGTTCGTGAGGCAGACCATAGACCAAGTGAGAGCGGCGCGGCGGCGGCTGTTGGGGATTGGGATCGTGACTTCGCAACGCACCCAGCGGACTTAGCAGGAGGCAGGCAAAGCATCATGTTTTTTTTCTTTTTCTTTTTATATTATATACACAGATGTATTACTCGTGTTGGCTGGACCGCAGAGTATGCCGGTGCATACCGTGTAGATCCGCCACTGACCTTTGCTGCTGGTGATGGTGACCATGCCACGCTGTTCTCGGCCTTCTTCGATGCCCAGAATGGGGAAAATATGGACATGCTCAACGTGAACATGGCTGTCGGTATTTATTAACGTGTCACTAGTTTTAATAGTCACCTATTATAAACCTATATATCCTAACATTACTTTATTAGGTTGTCATCCCTAGTGATGATGCTAGAGATACTTATTGTACTACCTAGTATTACTACTAGAATAAGACCAAATAGTTCTTTATTAATTTATATGACTAGAAGAAATATATATATATATATATATATATATATATATATATATATATATATATATATATATATATATATATATATGAATGAAAAGAAATCTGCAAACGCACAGATAATTATACTATTGTAACACTTCACCCGAGAGTATTCCAAATATCGTTATTTATATTTTTACCATAGGAAAGGTCTAGCATAGACAAGTATTGATAACTTATACTATTGATGGAGAAGTAAACCATAACCAATATTCTACTCAAAACAGGGATAAGTCATAGGATTATATATATAATAAGTATTGATCAATAATAATGATAAACTATGGCATTAACATGGTCAAGTAGAATATTAGAGAAATAATTCCTAAGTCATTCTTAATTATAAGTCAAATCATACATTGATTAGTGCAATTACAAATAATAGTCATTGTTAAGATCATCTTCATATCTACACATAAGGGATATTACTAAGATAGATTAAGAACAGAGCTTGTCCCCCTTCGTAACCATATCCTACGTGCTACATACATCGGGGAGTGGACTACAAAGAACTAAATAAGAGTGTCACATTCGCGATCTACCACATGACCCAGAATATAGGGTGTATCCGCAGGTAAACAACATATAAGCACCACGCTTATACAATGTCGACCACCCACCCATGGATCCTTAGGGTAAGCGCTATACGAACTGTAATACCCTAGAATTTGCATAATTTTAAAAATAGGAAAAATGATTTAATTATGCATTTTGTGAGCATTGAAATTTAGAAAAATAATAACTTTGTTAAAATTAAAATCAAATATAGGTCTACATTAATGTATGTGCATACATGCTGCTGCATATTTATTTTGTGATGCTTTGGTTTGATTGAAATTTACAAAAGAATTTGAATTTGATTTGAAATTAGATTTGAAATTGTGTTTAAGAAAATAGAAAAGAGAATTTTATTTTTCTTTCTCCCTCTCTCCGATTTTGGCCCAGCTCGGCCTGGTTCTCCCCGCGCCGTCCGTTTCTCCGCTCGCAGGCCGCTGTCATTCTCGTGGCCCAGCTCCGTTTCCCCACATCGGCCCAACACGCCGCGCCGTCGGGTCCGCTGGTCAACGCCGTCTTCATCACGCGTGTCCGCCACGGACACTACCGTCCCCGCCGAGTCCGCTGTTGCGCCGTCCCGATCTGGCGTGGCCGCACGCCAAAGCCGCCCCCATAATAGCGCCGGACCCCGCACCGCCACCTTCCTATCTCGCCCCAACGCAGCGCCTCGCATAGAGCTAGTAGCAGCGCCGCCGCAGCCCTTGAAGCAAGCCCGCCGTCGAATTCGCCGATTCGCCGCTCCTCCACCGCCGAGACCGCATCCCCGAGCCCCGCGAGAAGGTGAGTAACGTGCAGGTGTCTCTCATGCCCTTTCTCTGGCCTTCTGTGCTTGTATCTGCATCATCATGGATCTCCGGCGAACCCGATCCGCCATACTGAGCTCTAGCTCGTCCCCATGCTGTCGTAGCCCCTTATGATCCCCTAGATGGATTCACAGTGCCTTCCTCTTGCTTCCCGTGCCTTTCCCGTGTCCAATGGTGGCCGGAGTCACCGATTCGCCCAACTCCGGCGAGGTCTGAGCCTCTCCGACCATGGCGCCGCTCCGGCAACCTTCGTTCCTCTGATCTGATCTGCGCCGTCCGATTCTGATCCAACGGTCCAGATCTTAAGATACCCCTTTGCCTGTCGTTTTGCAAAAAGGCCATTACAACTATTTAGATCTCAACCCGACGTCCCTACAATTTTGTTAAAGAGACCCTATATTTCTTCGTTTTCATGCTCGCAGTCCTTGTTTCGGTTTAAAATCAGATTTTAATTATTTTAAATTATAAAATCAAGTTTTATCTATTTACAGTTTTGCCACTAGTTTTCTTTAGGCCATAAAATCTTCGTTTTAACTCCGATTTGATCCGTTCAAGTTGCGTTAGGTTCGTAATTGAGTAATCTACATGTTCATACTATTGTTTGGTATGTTTTTAACTTTTAACATTCGTGGTTAGATTTAATCTATTACTAAAGGAAATCTTGTTTAATTCGTAACTTCTTTGTTTTAGCTCTGATTTTTGTTATCTTCACGTCTGTGTGTTCGTAGTGAGACGTAGATTCATTTTATAAACTTTTCATCTTGATTTTATGTTGTTGGTGTACTGTTCTAATCTATAGCTTTTGTTTGCTATGCATGATTGCTTCTGGATGCTTGTATGTTGCTGTGATTATCGAGTATAGACGGTGAGCAATTCATGGGAGATCAAGAGTACTACTTTGTCGAGCAGGATCAGCAGGAGCACTTTGTTCAAGGCAAGTATAGCATGGGATTATCCCTGTTCTCTATCAACTTTAATACATTTAATTCATGTTGCATGTGTCATCTTGATAGGGATTCCCTAGAATTGAACTTATACCTTGTCTCCTATGGGATATGCATTGGGTAGCTTTGCTAGTGCTCACTTAAACCATGATCTTGTAGCTTGACTAATGGTATATGCAATAAACATTAAAATATGACTTTTTAGCAACTTGGAAACAGGGGGCAGTAGTGTTTAGCTACTTTCTAAATGCTCTAGATTCCTCTCCCTAAGGACTTATCTGTAAGTGATCATCCGGGACTTACAGTATAGCTATGAGGGCTACATAGCTCTGGCTTTAGCTCAGTATGAGGACCTTTTCTAGCTTGTTAGAGGTTACATTTATTGGCGTAAGAATGGCTTGCCGAATTGGGTATAATGTAGCCTCTGTCCCCATGTGTATAGGCTACACGTCAATGTGCCATCGAGAAGGGGGGCTCTACATTTGTTTGCCGAGTGAATCTAATGGCCCTAATTTGTTAGACGAACCTTTGAAAGGCTTCATAGTGACCCCTGCCTGCTCACCTTGGAAGTGTTTTGGAAGTAATTAACCCAGGCATATGGGTAACATGACTCACAGTGAAAGTGTACAACCTCTGCA